CATAAGATAAAAATAAATACAGATCATCAAAATTTAAATAGGAAATGGGGACAGAGATGCTTTAATCCATTTTTACATATTTATTAGTATATTTAAACAACAAAAATCAAGTGTTAAATCCCGGAATGTGCCTCTCCTAATTCTTAAGATTAATAAAATGATTCAATTGATGGTGTCTATGAATACCATCTGGTCACTCAGTCTTCTCTTCCTTCTTCCCCCTCAAACTTCTTTTCTTTCTAGCACTGTTCTACTGCTCTTTCTTATAAATAGATAATTCTTCTTTCTCCTAAACTGTTATTTCCATTGAAGTCCCTATTTTCCTCAGCTCTCATTCAATCTTCTTTCCATCAGTCTTCTAATGTTCTTCCTCTCCTCTAGATTAGTCAAACACTAATCTAAGGCTACGTTTACACTGCAGCCTGAAGTGACCCAAATCCGATGTTTTTGCCCACATGCGACCTGAATCTGATCTTTTCATGGCAGCCTGAGCAACCCAGGCTGCTTGGCTATGTGGTCCTGAATCCGATGCATATCTGATCTTTTCAAATGCAACCTGTGTCTGAACGTCCAGGTCGCATTCATCCGACCTGAAGGTTATTAAGACAAAGGTCACTATTATACGTCTTGCCATGAATAAGCGGCAACAAAAACAACAACCATGGCGGACGATGATGCAGAGAGCAGTTAATATGTGTAACCATATTGAAAAGAAAGTGTTTTTACGGTCGGAAAAGACCGCTAGATGGGCGCCGGCACTACCATCCATGTTTACTTCCGGAAAAAAAGAGTACACTGGGCATCAAGCCCTGCTGCGTGAACACAACCTAAAAAAGGGACATCAAGCATCAAAATCCCCTTCAAACACACATAATCTCATCATACATATTATCATTATTATTGTTGTTATCTCACCTGATTTAATACTAAAAAGTCTTATCGCCACAATATTTTGAGCTACAAATAAAACCAACCTAATAAATGAACATTAAACAGGTGGTTATCCTCCATCATTCTCAGATCATGCAGATCTTGTCTCATTCAGTGTCCCTTTTACTGCCTCTTATTTTTTATAATGAGGAACTTTCTTAAATCCAAACTGAGTGGTAGAAAAGAAAACCTAAGCCTGGAATTCTACGGTCATAAATGACAACCATAAAAGAGCAAAAAAAACCAACAACGTACAGTATAACTCCGCTTATAATAACTATCTGAAGATGAGGAGAGGTGGGGAGTGGTGGCCTAGTGTTTAGGGCATTGCGCTTGGATCTCAGAGGTTCTGAGTTTGAGCCCCACTCCCACTCTGGGTCCCTGAGCAACCCCCACATTGCTCCCCGGGTGCCCACATTGGCAGCCCACTGCTCCCAGAGGGGATTGGTTAAATGCAGAGAGTGAATTTTTTTGCTTTGTACTTGTGACACTGTAATGAGAATGAAGTTGAATTCTAATAACATCTTTAGGCAAACCTTTGTTGATCCCTGGAGAAACACTGAACCAGATTAGCTCCTTATAAGGAGTTTTCAATCATCTCGTTTAATTTTATGAGTCTATTTCCTCATGCCAGCTGCAGCCATTGGTCTCTTACTTTTTGTTGATTAGTTTGGTTTATGTTACATTTCCGGCCCTCTTCTTTAGTAAAAAACATCAAAGTCCTTTTTTAATTAACCGGGACACGAACCAAACATTTATTACAATGATCAGCCCAATTCAAATCAAATGAACCGATTAACACACCCACCATAAGACAGGGCAGCTGCGACCGGTTCTGACAACGAACTTCCTCGTCTGTTTTAAAAGTTTGGCGCTCTGCTCCTCATTTATACGCTAAAAGTTGCCAATCAGCTAGCTTACAGCGGTTTCAGCATGCAGCATGCTCACACGCACTTTTTACACACAACATTTTGCCCTTCATTTATAAAAAGGTGAAATTGGGGACATTTCCAGGGTGGCTTTAGCTGAGGACGTCTGGTCAGCATAGCTCATACAGTAGTAGCTAAAATGTCTCCACTTTCCGTGATGGGACCTTGGTTGGTCCCTTAAAGCCTTTTCGATCTGGGCGACTTTCTAGCCGTGTAGTGTACAGGGCGTAAGAAGGGGCAATCACCTCCCAATCAGGAATCATAAGGTCGGGAGAAAATCAAACATTTTTGAAATTCAGTCGGCCGTCATAAAGTGGCCGTGGGCAAATCGCTCAGTGGGCAAAAAAGGATTCTTCTTATTCCTCTCAGACAAAAACACAGGAATTCTTTCTGTAAATTTGACAGACCGTAGTAGCCACGTTTGCTCAGCCATGTTTTTGTCCAAATATGTTGTCGCCATTTTCTTTTTAGAGCTTTCAAATTGCCAAGGCAGCGCGTTTCACTCTAGTGAGCTTCACCTGTTTGGCTTCCCAATAGACGAGTCAGAGTAGCGCCATCTCACTGTGGAGCTGAGTCCCACCTGGTTTTTAGACGTACAGTAAGAGCAGGTACAGTAGATCGCATCAGAGCGTTGAGTCAGACAGAGGAAGAACAAACATCGTGAGCTGTGGACTTTTAAACCCTGCAGTTTATGTCGTATAGTGTGAGCTCTCCTGGTAATTCAGGGAAAGGGTGGAGTCAGAGTAAAAAAATATGCAAGAGGGGGTCTGTGGCTGGAAGATGGCTGCCATTCAGCCGGCCTTTGACCAGGAAGGGCCATTTTAAATGGCTGCTACTGTATGTACCCAGCTCTATTTGAACACAACGAAATAAAGTTCAAACTGAACTACTGTAGGTTTTAGCGAATGTTTAAACCTTCTTTGAGTACTAACTGTGTTCATTTGAGGATTTTTTGGTTCATCGTAGTTTCAGGACTAAGGATCATCCACCAGTTGGCCACACTTGTCCTTCTGTCATTTTCCTGGTGTTCAAACTTCACCCTGGTCATGTTGATCCATGATGCTTCTCATATTTTAAATTTCAGTAAGAAATAAGAATGTAGCTAGTTTAGAATTGATTACGTATTATTTCACCATCCAGTGACGTCCTGCACTCATGAAATTCTAAATGTTTGTCTTTTAAATTTCCTAATCAGCAGAGGTGTAAAGTAACGAAGTACAAATACTTCATTATTGTACTTAAGTAGACTTTTTAGCTATCTATACTTTACTCCATTACTTATTTTTCTTCCTACTTCTGACTTCTAATCATTACATTTTCATACAAGTATCTGTACTTTCTATTCCTTACATTGTTAAAACAAAAGTTACTCATAACTCATGGCTCCGGTTTGATGTTTATAAATATTTATTTCACATCATGTGCACCATCCAATGCAGATCATTGGCTCCATCCCAGAGATGGCAAAAGTACTCACTTTCCGTACTTGAGTAAAAGTACAGATACTTGTGTTAAAAAATACTCTGGTAAAAGTGGAAGTACTGATTAAACTTCTTTACTCAAGTAAAAGTAACAAAGTACAGGCTTGTAAATTTACTTAAAGTATAAAAGTAAAAGTAGAAACCACTTTTTTCATGCCGTTGCCTACATTTTAAATGGATGTCTGCCAATAGGACTAGATCTCCGTTGTGTTCATACTACTATGCTAACGCCACCGCCACCAAGCTGCAATGATTTGACGCGAATGAATACCGCCGAATCTGTCGATTCATCTTGTAGTGGTGCGTCAAATGCAACGTAGATTCCCATCCAATTAGATTGAATTTGGTATTGATGACGTGAAAAATAATAATGGTAACTCCATTGAAATGATTCAAAACTAAAGTAACGAGCCCATTTTTTAAAATGTAAGGAGTAGAAAGTACAGATATTTGTGTAAAAATGTAAGGAGTAGAAGTAAAAAGTCGCCATAAAAATAAGTAGTAAAGTAAAGTAAAAATATCAGAAAAATCTACTTGAGTACAGTAACGAAGTATTTGTACTTCGTTACTTCCCATCTCTGTTCCATCCACATCTAGTGAAAACTTGTGTCATTGGATGAGTCATAGAACGCAAACACTCATTGGTTAGCTAAAGGAAATCATCAGAAGCAAGCAAGTGTTCTTCAAACTGCTAACATGAATTGTCTATGCCATGCTACAATGTAGGATTCAGAAAAAGATGTTGAAATGTCTGAAAGGTCGGACACAGGCGAGAGCGTATCGGTAGATGGAGACCAATAAGACCTCCCTCATCCTTGGCCCTATCTCAAAGAATTTTTAGAAATAGTCGTAAAATTGAGCTTTCAGTTCATATAGTGGCATCTGGCTGTTTTTTTTTTCAAAGGTTACTTTATATTTTTATACTTTAAGTAGTTTTTGGAGCACATATTTTTTCACTTTTACTTGAGTAAAGAGGTCAAGCTGATACTTCAACTTTTACAAGAGTGTTTTTAAACTGCAGTATCTATACTAAAGTTAATAAGAGTTTATAAGTTTTCACAGATCAAAACTTAGCTGTTCAAAATTACTTCCAGTGGTCCTGCTCCCTGGGAGCCGCACAATGGCAGCCCACTGCTCCCCAACGGGGATGGGTTAAATATAGAGGTGAATTGATCCAATATAAGATCAATATATTATTATTTATAATTATTAGGAATATTGTTGAAATCCTGCAGAAAAGGGCGAACTGGATTATTTAGTTTGCGCTGATGGAAGATGCATGAGTGGGTCTGCTCGCCCACAGCATGACAGCTCATTGTGCGCATCCTCCAGTGCGTCTGGACTCCCAGTCAGCGGCTGCGGTTGTTTCCGCTGTGCAGCATGAGAGAAGGTCAACCTGGGCAGACAGCCTGCTGTGGCTCTAAGGTCGCTGGGTTTCCCCACTCTATGGAGGAGGGAATTTAAGTTTAAAGTGGAAACTTTCTCTGTTGCTCTGAGTCAAACCTGCATCATTTGCTTTAATATAGACCGCAGCAGAAAATAAACAAAATTAATAAAAATTAAAATGCACACATTTCAGAGGAGAGAATAAGTAAAGGCAGATGACTGTGTCATTAACGGTAGATGGGAAATAAAACTTCCTGCAGAGTCAGGTACTCACCGAAGGGCTCCTTATAGGCCATTAAACTGCTCATCTTTAAAGTGTCTCAAAGACAGAGAGAAGGAGGAATTCAGCTCTGCTCTCAGAGTGAAGAACCGTCCAAACACTCCGGGTTAGTTCAGCCGAGCCAGCCGAGCGGCGGCGTCTCACAGAATGAGGTGAGGAGAGTCTGCTGAGGCAGGTTAGCGCAATTAATGCTGCCTTCACGGACCCCTCGGTATTCACAGCCTTCACACCTAAACCTCACGTTGGCCGGGGCGGTTTGCCTTTAAGGGAGTTTCTTTCAGGTAAAGAACAGAAGATGATGCGAATTAGTGGAAGACTTTTACAATCGGCCCTTTAAAAGCACATGCAGCTTTTCTTTTTAAACTCCACAGCTGTAGATTTTCACTTTTTCATCGAGTAACAATAAAAACTATTCTTTTGGGATTTAACCCTTTAAAGCCCGATCCAAGAATAAAACAAAACAGAAAATTACTTTTTTTTTGGTTTGAAGTCCTTATTTGGCCTTTTAACAAAATATATAAAAAGAAAAAACAGAAATACATTTTTGATATTAATAATTTATTACTATGCAATAAGTAAAAATTATTTTTTGTGTAGTCTTCTGCCCTCTGTTATCAGGTATATCTGATTGTGTACAATAGGATTTTGGTGACAAATAAAATGTTCAACCCTCTATATCACTAAAAATCAACATAAACGTTTACATGATATTACATGTTTATTATGATCATTTATTTTTTTCCCCCCTTGTGCTCAGGATGATGCCTCAGACAGTGAACAGTAGCGCTAACTACTCAATTCACTTTCAATTTAACTTCAATTCAATTTAATTATATAGCACCAATTCACAACCCATGTCCACTTTACAGTTCACCAGAGCATCCAGTCAAATTGATTCAAAGTTTTCTAAGGAAAATCAGTTGATTACATTGACTCATTGAAGGCAATCCCTCCCACTAAGCATGCTTGTAGCGACAGTGGAGAGGAAAACTCCCTTTTAACAGGAAGAAACCTCCAGCAGAACCAGGCTCAGTGTGAGCGGCCATCTGCTGAGGCCCACTGGGGTTCAAGGCAACAGAAGCAGAGATACAAAGGCAACTGTAAAAAGCAGCCCCGTCCAGGAAACACACAGCAAGGCAGACGAGCTCCGAGCCAGCTCCCATGTCAGAGCATTAAGAGAGCACATCCAGTTAGTCACAATCAGAGAAACAGGACTACACTGAAAAACAAGCCGATCTCTTTTCTTGGTCCTTGGTAAAGTCAGTTGTTTTTTCAATAGGAAGAAATTAGTTTACTTTCTTCAACATTTCCGATTTTTTAAATGTACTTTTAGATAAAAATTGTTTTCTTTGTAAAGAAAAAATCCTGAATTTATGTAAACCATACTAAGTTCAATTATTGGTTCCAGTTTAGTTTGGATCCAATTTTTTGTTGTTCAATAAAGTCCAAATTCATCCATTTCAATCCAGCAAAGGCCGATTAAGACCCAAATCCATTTAGCAACAGTAGAGATGGCAGTTTACAAAGGAAACCAGCAGATTGCATCCCAAGAAAGCTATGGGTGAAGGTGGGGAGAAACCCTTCAACAGAAGGGTCACATAAACAGCTCTGGGTTGTGGACAGAAAAAGACATGTTACTGTGCAACCTTTGCTCTTTATTAAAGAGAAGACACACACTAAAGCATAAGCAATGACTGATAGTTTGCTTTCACAGCTAATGTGCAGCTCCAATTCCCTTAAAAATAATCTTTGGTTCTTAAATCTTTATATTTACACAGAACTGTGAGATAACCGCATGCTGTATTTTTTATAGGTTATTGGTTTTCTGATTATAATTTGCCTTTTTTTCATACTCTCCCCATAGTTCACTAGTTTCTTTTTATTTTTACTAAGTGGTTTATGTAAGGTTACCATCCTCTCCAAAGATGTTGTTAATTAAACTTTTTGAAAATTAAGCTGAAGGTTTTGTGAATACATTTTTTTTCATTTGGAGATAAACTGTGTTTATTTATTCTCTATTTTTAGACCGAGTTGAATTCAACCCCAACTGCAGATTTGAAAAGCGGAGGAATGGGGTCGTCTCTTTGTCTAACGATTCACTGAGATGTAAAAAGGCGTTTCTGGACACTTCAGCCTATTTGGATCTCCATGTAAGAACACCATGGGAGCCATCTTCCTGAAGTCCTTCAAACGTGTTTATTAATGACTGTTTATCTGTTATATGTGTTGATTATGACTGTTTAGTTCTTGGGGGAGACACTCCTGAATTTTCCTCAGAAAATCTAAAGAGAATAAAGAAACAAACACGTATACTCTACACACCCAAAAAAAGCCTTTTTAATGATCATTATTAGACAAATTAATCATAATAATCTTAAAATAACGCCACATTTTTAGCAGGTAGCCTCAGAATGTGGGTTAGGGATGTTGAAATAAAAGCTGCTCCATCCAAAACACTCCAAAGAGTTTTTACTGCGTGTTTCTGAACCTTTTTGTTTGGACACCGTTTCATGCTCATAGGTTTGACAGCTCTCTATAATAAATAGCACCACATCTATTCTAATATGCTTTGCTGTTATCTCTTTTTTCTAAAAATGTGTTTAGAAATACTCAACATGCTGAGTTATCCTGTGACTTTAATACACAAACCTGATCAAAAGCAAGTCAACTGATCCAGGTGTCCTCAAAGAAAACAAGCAGAAGTCAGTAGAGTCTCCTTATGGGTTGTGTGTCACTGTGTTACTTTCTGTATTCTTAAAAAATGCCAGGGCTAAATATAGCTCCAAATACGCTGTTAACTTGTGTTTATAAAAATGAGTCTGTGTTTCTATGAGTCACCAAGCCTTGTTCAGGCTTGTTCAGGCCTGGACAGGCAGATGAAGATTTCAGTTATCTGTCTGCCATCACTAGGAAATGGCATTTAAAAATGTCTCCTCTGGTTGAGCGTCATGATCTTGGTGCTGATGTCTGGTCTGAAGAATCATTCCATTCACCTGCTTAACTCTGCCCCGTGTTTCACATTACAGTTAATCTCCTCCCCCTGCTCCAGCCTTCATTTAACTGGCCTTCAACCAGTCATCAGTGCCAGATTATTGAGCCTTTTTTGAGAGTTCTCTTGTGTACCTGCGTGTTCTGATTGCCTGTACCTGACCTGCCCTGCCTTTTCCCCTTCTGATCTGTTTGCCTGACCTGTCTTCAGGCTCCAGCCTAATTTCTGCCCGTCTGTGAACCAAACCTAGAACCGTTTCCTGACTAAGTTCTGGATTTCCCTTCGACACCTCACTGGATCTCTGATCTCCTGGCTGTGATTGCCAAGCATGTTTTAGACATTGGCTTCACCCTATGGATTATCCTTCCTTCCTTTATCTGCTTGTATCTGATCTCCTGCCTGTTGACAGATGCTTGATGTTTGTCCACATTAAGGTCAGACATCCATTAAAGTGTGTCCAGATGCTTTTGCTGCTCCTGTGTTCAATGGCAGGCTTTGCTAGATTTGCTGTGATCTGTGGGTAAAAAGTAGTTTGAATATATTTTTAAGTGAAAAAGTCCACCTGAAAACATTGTCTGTGCAGTCAGTTCATCCAGATCACCATCCTCCCTCAAATGTTATTTCTCTGTCGGAGCCGCTCAGACCCCTACTTACTGGCGGTGTGCTGTCACTGGGAAGCGTATCATGCGCCTCAGCTGCTCAGAAGCTCATGAGGCACTGCAGGACCTTTTGATGCGCCGTGATGCTCGCCAACCTTTGACTTTTCATGTAAACCAGCTGCTTCAATCGGGTTAAATGTAAACGTAGCGACGGCGACACTATTAACTCCAGCTCCTTTTCTAATAAACGTTTTCGAGAATGCTATCTGTCTGTCTGACACTGGGTCCTATTGTTTTGTGCCTGACAGCATCAGTTCTGGGTAAAAAAAGAAAAAACTTCACTGAGTCTTCGGAAAATGTCTTCAGATATTTATTGATTGAAGTTTATGAGCGTTGAGAAAATGAAAACATAGGGTCTGTATACATGTGAGAGACTTTCTGTTTTCACTCATTTCAAACCAAAATCAATCAAATACATCTCATTGTCATCATACAGCAGAGGTCTTCATCATTTTCCAGGCCAAGGACCCTTAAACTGATGGCGAGATGGAGCAGGGACCCCCTAATTAAATATATTGTATGAAATAGTGTGTTCTATCAAACTGGTCCTATAGTTACTCTATTACAGATGGAGTAATGTAATGAAAGTAATTTCTCCCTGGGATTATTAAAGTATTTCTGATTCTGATTCCTGGTTGATGGGACAGGTGTTGTGAATGAAACGGTGCCCAGATTGAAAGAGCTCCTGTATGTCGCTGAATGTGAGCATTAATGACTGAAAGACATCTGCTGCCTCCATTTATCTGTTTACTACAGTGTGTTCAATTCATGTTAATGTGGATTTAAAGACATTTCAATTAGTGGAAAAAATTACAGAGGGGAATATAAAAAAAAGTCTAATCACCCAAAACTTTAGCGACCGCCATGCAGTACCTCCATGGACCCCCTAGGGGTCACGGACCTCCTGTTGAAGAACTCCGTTATGCAGTATACAAGAGGATTAGATAGGATTTCCTATTTTCAGTGCAAAACAAATCACAGATTATTATCAAAAATATTAAAATTAAAATAAAGTCCAACATTTCTCAGTACAGTGCACCAACAGGCATTTTAAAGTCTAAAATGTTTTTTGAAGTAAAGAACAATGCTTGATGATAGCAGTGGGCTTTATGCTGCCCTGCAAGGCTTTAAACCTGGTTTGAATGGAGACTAAGCCATTCTAAAGCTCATATCAAGGAGCTCATTTTGAGCCCGGACCCATATTTATTTTTGATTCTGTTCATGGTGGAGAATCCTGCTTCACAGCAGCAGGTTGAGCCAAACATCCTCTAAATGTTTAGGGTCATCTTTGAGCACCATTTCACTTTTCTTTCACCAGTTCTTCCAGCAGTCCACACTTTCTCTGCTCTCTTTTTCTCATCATCTTCTTCTTCTTTACCATTTCTTTCCTTCTTTCCCATCGTCCGGCTTGTCACAGGTTTGCCTGCTGTGTCTAAAAGTAGCAGCATCTACTTTTATTTAAAAAGTCAATGTAAATCATGGATGCATAAAAACATAATTTAATTTCAGTGTTAAAATTGTTTTAAATTAACGGATTATAATTTAAAATGTCTGTGGACCTTTACTGGTTGATGATTTTCTTTATTCAGAACCCTCTGATTTTTAATTGGTTTCCCCTGATTTAGAAGATAAATAAAAACTTTGAATTGTCACGAGTTTTGAAATAGAACTACAACTACAGCGACAGAAACCAAGTTTTAAAGATTTAAGTATGGAAGACCTTCAGCTGGATGGAAATCCCTCAGTCTGGATTAAATGAAAGGAACTCTACAAAGCAATGTTCAAAACTCCCACAATGCAATCTGAAAAGATTCACTTACACTGGAAAAAATCGAAATCTAGATAAGTCATTTTGTCTCAAAATAAGTGCATTTGTTTTTGGATTGAGGAGGTAAAAGACATTTTGCCAATGGAACAAGACAATTTACATTTAAAATAAGAAAACACAATTCGATTGTCTTATTTCAAGTGCATGATATCTCATTATTATATTTTAAGAGTAGAAATACTCATTCTATTGGCAAATCTCATTTATCTACTCAAATTAAGGGTAAATACACTTAATTTAATAAATGTTTACTTATTCTTGGATCGTTTTCCCAGTGTAGGTAGAAGCTGTTCACCACATGTCAGGGCCAGGTTTGTCTGGATAAAAACATAATTAAAAAATGTATTTGTCTGTTAGTTATTAAATGTATTTTATTTTAAATATAAATAATTTAAGAGGGAAAAGAAAAAAAACATTTAAGGGGTGAAAAACCTCTTCAATCTTAGACCACATCGTGGCCCCCGTACAATGACCACTCAGATGGAGACGGATCAGCAGCTGGACTGAACCAATTCCTGGGCTTCATTGGTCCCTAGAGGAGAAAGTAGGTTTTAGAAAAGATGGCTGCATAAGGGATGTGGTAAATGTTTTTGTGACTCAAAAGTGATGACATCACAAAGATGAGACCAAGAGAAAACAAGATTACTCTAGTGCCATCTACTGGATGGTCCAGGAAGTACGGCCTTTCCCTAATTTTCTACATCAGCTCAGTGAAAGAGGTAAACCAACATATGAGGCCACATTAGATGCTGAGTCAGCAGAACTACTGATGCTGACAAAGCAGAACAGGAGATAAAGCAAGAGATGGCAGATCCAGGATTTTCAAAATTTGAAAAGACATCCCAAGAAGGGAAGGTCATATTGGAAACAGACACGCCTACAGCATTCTGCAATGACTGACCCACCTGATCCTATTGAGCTCAGAGGAGCTCACGATGTTGTCCGTTCTGCGGGAATGAGCTCGGTTACTAACCCACCCCCAAACAGCAACTGTATAAAAACACTTTTCAGTTAGTGTTTTTCTGTTCATATATTTGTTCATCACAGGAATATTAGCAAACATCTATTAGACGTCTAAATATATTCTAACTAAGTTAGGATTATTGTGTCCATCGGTCTCACTGGAATGTCCCGGTTTACTAGCAGAAAACGCTCTCCATGTAGCTAAGGTGGGATATTGCTTTCTGACACGATTAGCCTCAAAGATCAGTCTTAAATTCCCTCTGATTTAAATTCAATTTACTTTATTTCTATGGCGCCAATTCACAACACGTCATCTCAAGGCACTTTACAGTTCAACCAGATCATCCTGTCACATTGATTCAAAGTGTTCTATCTAAGGAAAACCAGTTGATTGCATCGACTCATTGATTCAAAGGCAATGTCTTGTCTCGCTTGTAGCGACAGTGGTCGTCAAAGGGGAACCTTTTTTGTTTTGTCATCAATAACTTTTGAAAAGAATATAAATAAACTCTAATTAAATGATTTTCCGAACTTCACTGTGTTACATTTATTTTTGGTAAACTGTATATTTTGGTTGGAATTTGGACAATTATAAAACGTGACAATCATCACCAGTCGCCTCTACTGGTTTTTGATTGTCATTTATTTGACAGAATTGCTTTGTTTAAGGTGGCTGAACGTTGGAGTAGCTCTGTTAGGTTGATTCTGATACTGTTTTTAAGAGTACATGAATCCCTCCGTTTTTTGGAAAGAGTTTCTTTTTCTGATGTTTTTGTTCTTCTGTTGTTGAAGGCTGTGAAACTGGAGGGATTTTTACTGCTTTTGTTTTTCCTTGTTGGACAATTGTTGTGATGCGTAACCACAGAAACTATAGCAGGTTGATCTTTTACACCCCGGAGCAGATCTTTAAAGTCGTAGGGAAATCATATTTAAATGTCAAATCATTCTGGCTTAAACATGTATATAAATGTATTCTTTATCAGACCATATTATCTCAAAATTTAGAAAATTTCTATTTTTAAAACAATCCTGTCTTAAAATCTGTGTTTTTTTCGTTATCTTCTGCAGGCCAGTTAGTTATACGTCGGCCTGAACACCTAAATTTGGCCAATCATATATCAACGGTCATCTGTCAATCACATTTTTTCAGTCATAGCATCTATATTCATATGTCGCAGCTAATATACGCAACGACTAAAATGAGAATTATTTCCTTTCCCATTGAGTTCTGTCCCAGTGTTCACGGGGATGGACATCTGTGTCTTCAGCAGGCGTAGAGCTAACAGAACTGGCAGCGTTACGAGGCAAGGGCTCAAACATGTACACCAAGAGGTGTCCTCTTCCACAACAACTTCGTCCCCGCTGCAGCCTCCACACCACACAGTGAGACTGCTGGTCAGAACGCTCTCTATGGTGCTTCTGTAGGTCTAGGTATTATATTCTCTAAAGTGCGCATGTGTTTTTTGACCTATGCCCCTACCTGTAGGTATCTAAAATGATCGTGTTTATGGAGACCAAATGTAGGCTGAAGTTGAGAGTAAGAGGCAAAATTATCACCCACCTACAGGTCACCAATAGTCCTGATGCCTAAATCTCTCTATTGTGTATAACTTGAATCTAAAGTGGAGGGGACCAAAATAAGAACTTTTTAAAGTCGTAGGGAAACGGCCGTTCCAACCGTTGCATTTCCGAATTCTCCCGAGTGGTGCGCGACTTTACACGAGTGAATAAAGTCAATGTGATTGTTTAATTATCAAGAGGGCGGGATTGTTGTAGCGGAAGGTTCACAAGCACGTTTGATTGTTTTTGGGAAACATCTTGCTAACCAGTTAGCAACTTAGTGCTGCTTGGTCCCAATGGGAAATTCCATTGGGACCAAGTAGCACTAAATTGGTGACTTAGAAACGATACTGTCAAGGAACGCTATGGACAGAGGAAACATGCAAGAGGAGGAGAGTTTAGTGTCAGAGGTCGTGGATGAGTCTCCTCCGTCATCCATTTTTTATTTAGAGGAGGAAAGCGGACGAAGATGTTGTGGAAGAGGACGCCAGGGCGGCAGAAGCTTGGTTTGATGTAGAAGGCTTCCAGCCGTACATGTTTGAGCCCTTGCCTCGCAACACTGCCAGTTCTGTTAGCTCTACGCCTGCTGAAGACACAGACGTCCATCCCCGTGAACACTGGGACGGAACTCAATGGGAAAGGAAATTATTCTGATTTCTTATTTCAACCGTTGCATATATTAGCTGGGACATATGAATCAAGATGCTATGACCAATAAAATTTGATTGACAGATGACCGTTGATATATGATTGGCCGAATTTAGGTGTTAAAGCTGAAGTATAACCAAAGGTGTCAAAAGTACACACATTTGTTACTTAAGTAGAAGTATAGATACTGCAGTTTAAAAACACTCTGGTAAAAGTTGAAGTATCAACTTGACCTCTTTACACAAGTAAAAGTGAAAAAGTATGTGCTCCAAAAACTACTGAAAGTATAAAAATATAAAGTAACCTTTAAAAAAACACCCAGATGCCACTATATGAATTGAAAGCTGAATTTTTCTACTATTTTTGAAAAATTCTTTGAGATAGGGCCAAGGATGAGGGAGGTCTTGTTGGTCTTCAGCTCCCGATACGCTCTCGCCTGTGTCCGACCTTTCAGACATTTCAACATCTTTTTCTGAATCCTACATTATAGCATGGCATAGACAATTCACGTTTGCACTTTGAAGAACACCTGCTTGCTTCTGATGATTTCCTTTAGCTAACCAATGAGTGTTTGCGTTATATGACTCATCTAATTACACTAGTTATCACTAGATGTGGATGGAGCCAATGATCTGCATTGGATGACGCACATGATGTGAAATAAATATTCATAAACATTAAACCGAAGCCAAGAGTAACGAGTAACGTTTGTTTTAAAAATGTAAGGATTAGAAAGTACAGATACTTGTGTGAAGATGTAATGAGTAGAAGTCAGAGGTAAAGTAAATTATGCCAGAAAATTATGTAACGGAGTAAATTATGACACCTAAAAAGTGTACTTATGTACAGTAACAAAGTATTTGTACTTCATTACTTCACACCTCTGCGTATAACTAACTAGCCTGCATAAGATAATGAAAAACCCCACAGATTTTATGACAGGATTTTTCTAAAAATAGAAATTTTCTTAATTATGGGACAATATCATCAGATAGACATTTATATACATGTTTAAGCCAGAATGACATGACATTTAAATATGAATTCCCTACGACTTTAAAATAAAATTCCTTATGAATTAAAACAGAAAATAAATACAGCAAACAATAAATCAATATAGTTTCACAGTTCAGAATTCATTCTCTTATTTCTTATCTTTTTGTCTTTCACAATGTGTATTTATTATTGCACGGTGCATTTCCTCATTCATGCTTTCTTTTCTGTTTTAAGGTGTGGTTTATTTATCCTATATCGTTGGCACTCTCCCAGTTTAAACAGGTTCCGTCACAGCATGCATGTAAAATCCGATTTATCCTGAACGCGTAATGAAAAAAAAACAAACAAGTTCTGGTGGCGTCATTACGCAAACGACGTAAGCCGAGATGTCCAATCAGGTGCGTCGCTCCCAGCTTAGGGAAGAAGCAGATGATATGGCAGCTTAGAGCGACCAGGTGGAACTAGCTTGGTTGGATGTTGGTGTCTGCGGAGCCGCGGACTCAGCCGGACCCCTGGAAATGATTTACCTGATCCTGATCTCCGCACTGTGCGGGGCCGCCGTCACGCTGCTCTTACAGTTCTTGTTGATATACAGGAGGAGCCCAGAGCCCTTAGATAGGAGCGTTCAGTATGTCAAAGTAGTGCCCGATAACGCACTAAAAGATTACTTTAATGCCGGCCGGGCCGAACCGAGCCAGCAGGACGGCGGAGCGGCAGCAGCATCCAAACCGCAGGAGGCAACCTTCAGCCGGCAGCAGGAAGCGGCTGTGACCGGCGGCAGCCCGAAGCAGCAGCAGCAGCTCAACAGCGAGCTGCTGGATGCTGGGAGGACAGAAACATGCAATTTCCTCAATGCCATCTTCCTGTTTCTGTTCAGAGAGCTGAGGGACACCCCGGCGGTCCGCCACTGGATGACCAAAAAGATCAAGGTGGAGTTTGAGGAGCTGCTGCAGACTAAGACGGCGGGTCGCCTCCTGGAGGGGCTCAGCCTGAGGGACATCTCCCTGGGGAACTCTCTGCCGGTCTTCAAGGCGGCCAGGCTCCTCAAACCGGCGCAGCTGGACGACGACGGGATGCCGGAGGAGCTCAACTTCGAGGTGGACATCGAGTACAATGGCGGCTTCCATCTGGCCATCGACGTGGACCTGGTGTTCGGCAAGTCCGCCTACCTGTTCGTCAAGATGCGGCGCGTGGTGGGCAGGCTCCGGCTGCAGTTCACGCGCATGCCCTTCTCCCATTGGTCCTTCTCCTTCCTGGAGGACCCGCTGGTGGATTTTGAGGTGAAGTCTCAGTTTGAAGGGAGGCCGCTGCCTCAGCTGACCTCCTTCATAGTCAACCAGCTGAAACGGGTCATCAAGAAGAAGCACACCCTGCCCAACTACAAGATCAGGTAAGGCGGCCCAGAACCTCCAGAACCACCAACCAGCCACAGCCTGAAACATGGCCTGACATTACTCAGCTCAAACTGAAGTACAGCTGTCACAACACGTTTTTATTTATAAAACGCATCTTTGCAACAATAATGGAATAAAATTCACTCCATACATGTTCAGCCACCTGGGCAAACTCTGACCCTATAGTAATTAAATTCATACTAAGTATTTCTATAGCACCAATTCACAACCCATGTCATCTCACCAGATCATCCAGTCAGATTGATTCAAAGTTTTCTATCTTAAGAAAACCAGCTGATTGCATCAACTCATTGACTCAAAGGCAATCCCTCACACTAAGCATGCTTGTAGCGACAGTGGAGAGGAAAAACACCCTTTTAACAGGAAGAAACCTCCAGCAGAACCAGGCTCAGTGTGAGCGGCCATCTGCTGAGGCCGACTGGGGTTCAAGGAGACAGACGCAGACATAGAAATAGAATCAGAGATACAAAAGGCAACTGTCAACCAGCTTCACAAAACAGAAATGTTGATGGCAGCAGCACAGCTGATATTTCTCTCCAAGATGGAGTCACAGCCAAACAGGAACAGACCAGATGAAGCTACTATGAGAAAAAGCAGAGAGAGCAGAAAGTTAGAGATTGAACTAACAGATTCTGCAGAGTGGGAGAATAGCAATAGAATGATGAAAAAGGGGTCCCTATGTCCTCCAGCAGCCAACGCCTATAGCAGCATAACTATAGAGATGGCTAAGGATAAAGCGCTGGTTATCCTCCCGCAGCTGTGTGTCACAGTGAGCTTGTTGCAGATACTTTTCATTTATGCCAAATATTGAAGCGTGGTCTGCGCTATGTTGTTCCTCGCCACGCCGCAAGAGGGACAATCAGGAACTAGCTGTGCGTCATGATACAGCCGAGGCGTCGAGGAAGTGGGGCAAGTTTGTGCGACAATGGAATTTTGGAGAGCTGCACCAGGGTGTCTACTGAAGGGAGGGAGGGGGGGCATATCTGCGTTAGCTGCGACACACGCATACGACCTGGTTTCTGAGTATAAATCAGCCTTTACCTGATTCACTCTAACTGTAAGATTGATCAAAAAGGAAAGTTTTAAGCCTAGCCTTAAAAGTAGACAGGGTGTCTGCCTCACGGACTAAAACTGGTAGTTGGTTCCACAGGAGAGGAGCCTGATAGCTAAAAGATCTGCCTCCCATTCTACTTTTAGAAATTCTAGGAACCACTAGTAAACCTGCAGACTGAGAGTGAAGTGCTCTGTTAGGAACATAAGGAACAATCAGATCTCTGATATCAGATGGAGCTTGGCCGTTTAAGGCTTTATGTGTGAGAAGGAGGATTTTAAATCATTCAAATTAAATAGGCTGGTGTTTTTACGGCTTGTTTTCATGCAGGTTGCTGGTTTATGGAAACGCCCCTAAATGGGACCTTGCACCCATCCGGGTCCAACTGGGTTTGTTTTCCAGATATTTTCCTCTGCAGAGCATTATCATTTTATCAGGTGTTGTTCTAGAGCCAAAGCCTCACCTGTCAGATGTCCTGATGGTGAACCAAATGACTTTAACTGGTGTGGATTAAAGTGTACTCAAACAAGCGCATTTTAACCCCAAACCAAAGCATGTTGGGAACACAAAGTCATGCAGCAGATGGTTTCCTTTTTGTCTACCAGGGAGCCGGATGAAGGAAGGTTCGTGAAGGGTTAAATAACCAGCCAGCAAAAACCAGGCTGACTTCCTGAAAGTCTGCTTGATGCTGGCCGCAGCTGGTCCAAAAACAATGAATAAGTGAAGATGTTCAGTTTTTCCAGAACAGTGGAGGGAGGAAAACTACATCACCATCAGTGAGAAAGTCCTCCTGGCCACTGGGGGCACACTCAAAGAAGCCATTAGATTTTTGTGATCCAAGAAAAGCTCTGGTTTCTGATGGTTAGAACAAAGCAATGTTCCAAGAAATCATTCCAGTCTTGGTCTGACTCCTTCCCCCACCAGCTACCGTGTTCTCCGGTGCACACGTGGGTTCTGTGGGTGCTCCGGCATCTAGGAAAACAGGTTAGTGCTGAAATTATTCATTCTGATTGGTTAATTATTACAAGGAATTTCAGCTGATAAACAGAATAATCATAAACAGCTTCTGAATGGAACCATTTACTGATGGAACAGCCCACTGAGCCACTAATGGAACAGCCAGCAGTGGGAACAGCAAACTAATGGAACAGCCCACTGAGCGAGCCACTGACAGAATAGCCCCCCGAAGGAACAGCCCGGCGATGGAACAGCCCACTGAGCCACTGATGGAACAGCCCGGCGAGGGAACAGCCCACTGAGCCATTGAAGGAACAGCCCGGCGAGGGAACAGCCCACTGAGTCAACGACGGAACAGCCCATTGATGGAACAGCCCACTGAGCCACTGACGGAACAGCCCGGCGAGGGAACAGCCCACTGAGCCACTGACGGAACAGCCCATTGGCTGAACAGTCCACCGACAAAACAGCCCATTGACAGAACTGACCTCTGAGCCACTGATGGAACAACCCATTGATGGAACAGTCCACTGAGCCAATGACGGAACAGCCCACAGAGCCACTGACGGAACAGCCCACAGAGCCACTGACGGAACAGCCCATTGATGGAACAGTCCACTGAGCCAATGACGGAACAGCCCATTGATGGAACAGCCCACTGAGCCACTATTGGAACAGCCCACAGAGCCACTGACGGAACAGCCCATTGATGGAACAGTCCACTGAGCCAATGACAGAACAGCCCACTGAATCAATGACGGAACAACCCACTGAGCCAACGACGGAACAGCCCACTGGGCCAACGACGGAACAGCCCACTGGGCCAACGACGGAACAGCCCACTGGGCCAACGACGGAACAGCCCACTGGGCCAACGACGGAACAGCCCACTGAGCCAACGACGGAACAGCCCACTGAGCCAACGACGGAACAGCCCACTGAGCCAACGACGGAACAGCCCACTGAGCCAACGACGGAACAGCCCACTGAGCCAACGACGGAACAGCTCACTGAGCGACTAATGGAACAGCCCACTGGGCCAACGACGGAACAGCCCACTGAGCGACTAATTGAACAGCCCCCTGAGCCAACGACGGAACAGCCAAGTGGGCCAACGACGGAACAGCCCACTAATGAAACAGCCCACTGAGCCACTATTGGAACAGCCCACTGAGCCACTATTGGAACAGCCTGCTGAGCCACTATTGAAACAGCCCACTGAGCCACTGTTGGAACAGCCCGCTGAGCCACTAATGGAACAGCCCGCTGGGCCAATGACGGAACAGCCCGCTGGGCCAATGACGGAACAGCCCACTGGGCCAATGACGGAACAGCCCACTGGGCCAATGACGGAACAGTCCACTGGGCCAACGACGGAACAGCCCACTGAGTGACTAACGGAACAGCTCACTGAGCCAACGACGGAACAGCCTGCTGAGCAACTATTGGAACAGCCCACTGAGCCAACGATGGAACAGCCCAGTAATGGAACAGCCCACTGAACCAACGATGGAACAGCCCACTAATGGAACAGCCCACTGAGCCACTATTGGAACAACCCACTGGGCCACTATTGGAACAGCCCAGTGAGCCAACGATGGAACAGCCCACTAATGGAACAGCCCAGTGAGCCACTATTGGAACTGCCTGCTGAGCCAACGACGGAACAACCCACTGAGCCACTATTGGAACAGCCCACTGAGCCAACGATGGAACAGCCCACTAATGGAACAGCCCACTGAACCAAGGATGGAACAGCCCACTGAGCCACTATTGGAACAGCCTGCTGAGCCAACGACGGAACAACCCACTGAGCCACTATTGGAACAGCCTGCTGAGCCAACGACGGAACAACCCACTGAGCCACTATTGGAACAACCTGCTGAGCCACTATTGGAACAGCCTGCTGAGCCAACGACGGAACAACCCACTGAGCCACTATTGGAACAACCCCCTGAGCCACTATTGGAACAGCCCACTGAGCCAACGATGGAACAGCCCACTAATGGAACAGCCCACTGAACCAAGGATGGAACAGCCCACTAATGGAACAGCCCACTGAACCAAGGATGGAACAGCCCACTAATGGAACAGCCCACTGAACCAAGGATGGAACAGCCCACTAATGGAACAGCCCACTGAACCAAGGATGGAACAGCCCACTGAGCCACTATTGGAACAGCCTGCTGAGCCAACGACGGAAAAACCCACTGAGCCACTATTGGAACAGCCTGCTGAGCCAACGACGGAACAACCCACTGAGCCACTATTGGAACAGCCTGCTGAGCCACTATTGGAACAACCCACTGAGCCACTATTGGAACAGCCTGCTGAGCCACTATTGGAACAACCCACTGAGCCACTATTGGAACAACCCACTGAGCCACTATTGGAACAACCCACTGAGCCACTATTGGAACAGCCTGCTGAGCCAACGACGGAACAACCCACTGAGCCACTATTGGAACAGCCTGCTGAGCCAACGACGGAACAACCCACTGAGCCACTATTGGAACAGCCTGCTGAGCCAACGACGGAACAGCCCACTAATGGAACAGCCCACTGAACCACTATTGGAACAGCCTGCTGAGCCAACAACGGAACAACCCACTGAGCCACTATTGGAACAACCCACTGAGCCACTATTGGAACAGCCTGCTGAGCCAACGACGGAACAACCCACTGAGCCACTATTGGAACAACCCACTGAGCCACTATTGGAACAGCCCACTGAGCCAACGATGGAACAGCCCACTAATGGAACAGCCCACTGAGCCACTATTGGAACAACCCACTGAGCCACTATTGGAACAGCCCAGTGAGCCAACGATGGAACAGCCCACTAATGGAACAGCCCACTGAGCCACTATTGGAACAACCCACTGAGCCACTATTGGAACAGCCCAGTGAGCCAACGATGGAACAGCCCACTAATGGAACAGCCCAGTGAGCCACTATTGGAACAGC